CGTTGTGATTCCCTGAGTTTAGTCTTAGCATTATTAATTTTTGTGAATTTTATTTGAGTTACAAATCAGACGTAACAGCGTAGGATTTTTTTAACATAGGTAATAATAAATATATTTTAGATAGAGAGAGAACATAAAATTTATTTTATTGATATTGATAATTTTATAAGATGTAAAATAAATTTGAGATAACAGTATTAATCTTTATTAAAAAGTAAAAATATATATATATTTATTTTATTTATTTTAAAAAAAATATAAATAAATAAAAAAAAAACAAAAAAATAAAAAAATATTTTTTTAATCCTATCAAATCAAAAAAAAAAAAAAAAAAAAAAATATTTTTGAATCTTAATTAAAAAAGATTTTTTTTACAATAAGAAAAAAAAATAAAAATAAAAAATTTTTTTAGGTGTTGGCATCAGTATTAATATTATCATAAATGTTGGTATTGACATGGATTTTGATATAGGTGGCTTAGATATTGGCATAAGTGTTAATATAGGTAATATAGGTTTTGATATTGACTTAGGTTTTGATGTTTATATATGTGTTGGTATTGATATAGATACTGGTATTGGTGTTGGTATTATTGGTATTTTGGCATTAGCTTTGGTATTAACGTTGGTATTAGCATTGATATTGAAGTTATTATTAAAATTGGTGTGATAGTTATATATTTATAACTTTAACTATAATAAAAAAAAATATTTAATATGTTAGTTTCTTTTTAAATATTATAGAATATTTCTTCATTATAAGAGGAGTAAAATTGTCTCTTTTTTTGTAAATCAAAGCTTTTTTCGATTATTATATTTTTGATGTATTAATTTTTATAAAAATTGTTTATAAATTAGCATAATAATAAGGTTTGAAATTTTTTTGATATATTATTTTTTTATTAGACTAAAAAATACATTAATATTTTAAACTAATACAATAATTTTATTACAACTTTTAGATTAATTTTTAAGATCTGGATATATATTGATTATTTTTGAATTATGTTTTAAAAAAGAATATTATGTAAGCAGTCAGGACCTAATCTGTTATGCTTTTTGTAATTATATTATCAGCATCTAAAAATTACCTTTCAAAAGAAACTGAAACAGAAATTGCAAGATATTTATATATTTGCATGATGTGAATTGGCAATAATTTTCTGTATAAATCATATAAGTGGATTTTCCTTATAATACCTAGGATTGTTGAGAGGATGTATTGGAATTTGTAGTATTATAGTATATATTTGTATTTTATTTTATAATGAAAAAGTATGCTTATAAATATTATCAAAAAATTATTTTTGCTATTAATTGCTAGTATTACTTCTAGTAAGTTATTTAAATTTTTTCATTTCTTATTTTATTTTCATTAATATTTTTATTTTTTTTATTATTTATAAAATTTAGATTTTAAAGTGAAAATCAAAATATGAAGCAAAATAAATAATTAGCAAAATATTTTGCTAATATTTTAATATTTGTTTTTTAATAAAATCTCTTACTCTACTTAATTATTATTAGGCATAAAATTGATAAAGTGAGTTTTGAGTTTAATTAATTATAGATATATTATACTTAATGTTATATGTTGACTTTCTTAATTTAATAATTTTGTAATGTAAATTATTCACTATTATCTAATAATAAAGATTCCTAATTATTTCTATCATTTCGAATATTATGATTTGAATTATTTTTAAGAATTGCTACTAAAGAATATTTAGCATCTTTAAGAAAAATAAGATTTTGTAATACAGCATAATTAGAGTTTCATTTTGTAGTAACATCCTGAATTAGGTCAAGAATCTTTGAAATATTAATTGTTAAACTTTTTGAAGAGTTTCAAAATATTTATATTGGCAAACAAGTGCATTATTAAGTATTTCAGCTTTAGTAATAATCCCATTACATTTCTTAAAACCATTATTAATTGCAAGTTGAAGAGTATGAAAATAGCAATTAATACATTGATAATTAAATAGTTAAAATACATTTATCTATTTCTTGCATCATTACTAACTCCTGCAATTACTTTTTCAGTCAAGTTCCATTTTTCAAATAATTTATATAGAAATTCACACTAGAATATTTATAAGGAAATTTTTCATTTGTTATAAGCTCTTGAAGGTCAAAATTAGATGTTAACTAATGGATTGTTACACCAATATATGATGTGTGAAATTGTTTCCACAAACAACCGTGAAACTACAAGTTTCTATTGAGTGTTCTATATTTCATAAGTTAAATTATCTTCAGCAAAAACTATACATTCTCCTAGTTTTTTTCTTATTGTGCTAACAATGGAACAGGAAATCGATGATTTAATGTTTTACATAAATTAATAAATATTTGAATATTAAGAGGTTGTAAATCTTCGATTATCCATTTTAATAGATTAGCTGCAATGTATCTTATCTGTATGCTTATATAATTCTAAATTATCTTTTGAATTTTGCTGAATTTGCTCATCTTTTATTAATTCAGAAGAATTATTAATTAAAAAAAAAATTCGATGAACTTTATTTAAATGGTTTCCTATATTAGTTGTAGAAAAGGAAGGTTTAAAACAATTTTCCACAAATAACTTTTTTACCATTTTTTCTAATAAAACGTTACAATGCCTATGTTCGTTTTTAACATTCTTTTCAACATAATTCCATACCCAACTATTATTTGTTGTGTATGCTTTTTAGTTGATAATATACGAATAGAGGGTTGTTGTTGAGAATATGAAATTAAATCAAAACAAAACAAGGTGAAGCTGATGCTGAACATGAATCCGAAAATTCATAACTTTTGAAACTTTTGAATCGCAATGATTATTTTTCTGTGTTAAAGGTTTTCTTTCTAGCTCGTTTAAATTCAGGCATTTTGTATTGCAAAAAAAAAGTTCTTGTAAAATTACGATAAATTTAAAAGTTTATAAATTGCTATTATTGACTTTATTTGGTCGATAATTATTTTTCCAACTTTCCAACATATTTTTTAATAATCATTAGGAAATTAGTCATTGTATGCCGTACGTCACGAACCTGGATAGAAAAGCCCTTAAATATGAGTGATGTCGTCATGACAGATTAATGCTTACCTTACCTAATAAATCTATTATTTTATTTTAGCTATTAACAAAATATTCTGTTATTAATAATGGAATAATATGAGAAGAAAAGATTGAAAATGCGTATTTTCTTCTCAGATTAACTATTCTCGGCACTTCGAAAATCTATTGGTTCATCAAATTTGTCGAAATCATTGTTTTAAAAGACTGTTACTAAAAAATTAGTAGTAAAAGTTTTGTAATGATATATTATCATTTAATGTGACAGAACAATTTTTTCTTCTCACTGGCTAATACATAATCATATCAAAACTCATTAAATTGTATTACTAAATATAGTTAGCTGTAAAATCAATCATGTGTAGTCAGCGACAATTTTATTACTAAATATATATTTCTGAAAAACAAAATATAATTTTATCTTGCATTTTGTTTTAAAAAAAGATGTACAGTAAATCCTACCATTTACGATAATTTTTTTATATAAAGGGGTTGGGCTGACATGCACAACCTTTTACAGATTTGGTAAAAAAAATTTTTTTTAAACTGCATTTAATTACTTTGACTTATTCGCCAATTTTAATGTTTTCTTCAGAAAATGAAGAAAATTATCGTTAGAGAGTGGGCTGAGCTTATTTCAGTCCCTATTACCTTAGATGAACAATCTCAAAGAGTCTTTGAGCATGCTGACTTGCCTGCTGTGAATGATGAACTATCTGTAACATTTCGACTAAAACTTCAGAGTCATGCTTCTAGTTGGGCTATTATTTTTCACAAAGGTAAGAAAGACCAAATTGTTTTTTTTTAAAAAAATCTTGTTCCTTCGGTCTAAAATAAAAATTATTTAGGAATCGAATCGTTTATCCGAACTCCTAGGCTCGAGTTGGTACCAAAAAGATCCTCTTTGCATGCTCGGTTCACAGGCAACTGGACTAATAATGCAGGAATTTATGAGCTCGGTGACGGACTTTTGTTAAATAGATGGTACCACATATCTTATACACTTTCTGATTCTGAAAAGAGATTAGACATTTACATCGACGGTGAATGGGTCGGATTCTATGGTATCCAGAATGTTACAACGGAAAAAGTTGTATTTAATGACGGACCACTATATATCGGACGTTCTTTCGGCAATGGATTCAATGGCGATATTTGGTATGATTTACTACAGCAAAAATTTAAACTATATCACAAAAAATTATAAAGTAATATCCATTTTAATAAAACAGTAATTTTCGCTATTTTAATTGGCGTTTATGTGCAGAAGAAGTGAAGGAAGATTTTTTTGTAAGTTATTCTAAAATTTCATCATAAACATATATTAACTTCTGATAACTTTTTCAAAATTAATTTGTCGCAAAGCAAAAAAAAAAAGCACAGAATTGGTATAAATATTATTCCCTAAAAGATTGTTTTTTTAAATATCGGATTTCAGAATAAACTAATAGACTATGGCTCGAAGGTCGCCCTTGTTCATTAACCTACTAGAAAACATTTATCTACTAAACAAGTCAAAGATTCATATAACAATCAAAATTTGGTATTTGTCAAATTTTATTTCTCTCTTTATGTTATATTAGATAAAATAATACTGTATTCAATATTATAAACTTGCGAAGGCTATTTGCAATGGCCGTGAAATAGATTTGAAAAATGATGTTTTTACTGTTATTGAAGCTCACAATACGAGTGTAAACGCGGGAAGTCCTGTGCCTTTTAATGCAATCATTGGATTTAAGCATCTTGCGACAGAAAGCCATTTACATTCTCATCATAGACTCACACCGATTTCGAAGCATCAACAAGGTTTGTTAATGCATTAAAATTTTAACAAATTATAATTTTGTATAATAAATTTTACAAAATAATATTTAGTGACCATTTATAATGGTAGAGATGTTAACGATAACTGGGTCATTCGGCGATATAATTCAATCGCTTCTAAAGATGAATCTGGTTATTTGTCGAATGGTGATATAATTAGCCTAACGCATGTTAATACTGGTTATCCAGCACTTTATAGTCATCCCGTATTATTGGATGATGGAACTCAAGAAGTTACATGTCATGGAAATGGAAATGACGAAAATAATAAAGTATTTACTTTTCAGTTTAACCTAAAAAGTTATATTGACATTTATACAATCAATCAAATATCATTATCTTTTTTTAGTGGCGTATTGAATTAATTGATGATTCGAAATTGTGAATTATTTTTAAAAGAACACTTAAGTAATCATGGTTTCTCAACCTCTTTTAATATTGTAAATGAATTTTCAAAAATCGTAAATTACTTATGGCATAAAATAAAGGTTACTTGACATCACTTGAGTCTAATAATAACCCGTGATGGGTTTATCATCAAATGACTTAAACGATAATCCCGAATGTTGTCACCTTTTAATTTCGTATATGAGGTGAGGGGATTATTTAAAGTTTATTAATGTAGACGATAATTATATGTTGAGTTTCCAATGATAGAAAGGACAAGTTTTGGATAAACAACCGTTTCTAGTCTTTGAATGACTTTATTTTTTTAAAGCACATAGGATGAGAGAGGAAAATATGTAATAGTTATGCACCACGAAATCAGAGAGATCACGTTTCGCTGTTATTTAAGTAATGTCGGAGTTTGAGCGGTAAATAACTAATATATTTCACGTTCGTATTAATGGATATAAATAAACTTTTCGTCATGATCACAAATTTTTCTTCGCTCATAACAAATTTAAAATGCCAAAGCTTCTAAGCAATCACATTTATAATCTAAATATCTAATTAATAAATTGAGAAATAAATTCATATTATCATGTAAAAATATAGAAAAAGCAACGAAGTTTGGCTTTATAAAAGATTTCATAAATATGAGTTAATATGAAAAACAAATTTACATATCATCAAAGGATCTTAAAATTCAAAACCGGTAAATTAATGGCGAGATTATATTATGCATCCATTATAAATTTTTAAACGACATACAAACTTTAAATCGCAAGATTAATGCTTACTAAATTATAAAATTAATTAAAAGCACTAGTGAATGCTATCTTCAAATTTTAACTTAAAATAATTAACTTTCAAATAATCATTTAATATTTACAATTATTGTTGTTAAATAAATTCTTTCTAATATAATTTTCAAATGATAATTTAATTCTATACTATTGAAATACTAAGAAAAATCAAAATTTAATTATAATGAATTTTTCATACCAAATATTATACCACGACAATTTCTTAATATACAATAATCGAGGCTGATTATGTAGGAACTAAAGAACTGCCAGAAATGTCAATTTGATCGATCGTCACTTGCGCTAGAAACTTACCTTTTGATACAAATTATCATGTGCAATCAAATGAGAGTCGCGACTCACTCAGTAGCTGAGTCAACTGTAAAGGGTCTAGCGGCTGAACTGATGCGACTCCAGAATTAACCACGGACTGGTTGTCTTCAATCGAGTTGGGTATATCCGGATCAGGTATCGACATGACCCTACTTGCTACATTTTTTTACGTAACATTTCGTGTCATTTATGACCCGAATGGGGACGTTGGCTATATGAATCATTTTATGAATTTTATGAGACAAAATCAAATGTTCCGAGATACCAAATGAACTTCCGGAAAGCTTATAAAATTCGTTTTAAAACAACAAGATATCAAATGATCTAAATGAATTTTCATTGAAATATAAGTTGATATTTGTGTTTACAACCATCTTAATAATTACAATTATACGGATTTTTATTTGATTTCTTTTTTTTTCTTTTCAATTTTATTTAGTTCTTCGACACCAACATTCAGTTCCAACTTAAATGAAGCAATTTACACGGAACCAATTTATACTTATATATATAGATATAGAATGAAATTGAAAATATAACCAATTTAACAACACATTTTGTAATTTGCAATTCGGTATGACATTTGAGTTCAACATGTCAGAATAGTCAGAACCTTTCTCTTATTAAAATTTATGAGATGAAATCGAGCCGATCCAAAATTTTTTCAGATTGATTTTTTCACAAGCTGAACCAATAAATTTGGAATAATCTTTTCATTTGAAAAATTAAAACTTCAGCATTTGACATAGAAGATATAGTTCTTAAAAATTATGGGTTATAAACGAAAGCAAGGTAAACAGAATGTTTATATTATAAATGCAATGTTATTAATAACAGCATAAAACTATGTAAATAAAGTATTGCCTCAATCGTCGTCGATATATACGATCAGATGCGCATTTTATTAAAGATCTCATTATTGTTACAAATTCGAAAGGACCTAATGCTATATTAATACTATCTCAAATTGTTATCTAGTAACATGTCTTTTATCTCAAGCGATACCCAACAATTTTTATGCCCGAAATTCGGCAAGGGCCTGTCCAGGAGCCATTTCGGCCACGAAACATATTGGCCGAGGGGCAATTTGGCCTATCGATTTTCTAAAATTATAGACAATTAAGCTAGACAACATTGCCCTGAAACTAATAGAACATGATAAAACAATCATATTATAAATAACTGTAACACAAATTTCTTTAGATCGGCTACCAATCATTGAATGATGAATTAGCAGAAATTAGGCTAAAAAATAATGTATGTAGATCCTACCATTTAAATTTTTTTTTTTTTTTTTTTGGAATCATTTGTATAAAAGGGCTGGGTTTACATAGCACAACAGAACTTTCTTTTTTAAAATTAAAATCAACTTCAGGTAAAATTGATTATTTTAAATAATTTGACGTACTAATAAAAAGAAGCGTCATTCGACAATTTTAATGTTTTTTTTCAGAAAATGAGAAACCATATCGTTAAAGAGTGGACTGAGCTTATTTCAGTCCCTATTACCTTAGATGAACAATCACAAAGAGTCTTCGAGAATGCTGACTTGCCCACAGTGAACAATGAATTATCTGTGACATTACGACTAAAACTTCATAGTCATGCTTCCAGTTGGGCTATTATTTTTCATAAAGGTAAATTAATTCTTTTTTTTTATTAGAACCTTTTTATCTCGGTTCTCAAATTTAATAAAATATATTTAGGTACCGAATCGTTTATCCGAACTCCTAGGCTCGCATTGATACCAAAGAAATCCTCATTGCATGCTCGGTTCACAGGCAATTGGACTAACAATGCAGGAATTTTTGAGCTCGGTGATGGGCTTTTGTTGAATAGATGGTACCATATAGCTTATACTCTTTCTGATTCTGAAAAAAGGTTAGACATATACATAGACGGTTGATGGGTCGGATTCTATGGTATCCAAAACGTTACAACGGAAAAGGTTGTCTTCAATGAAGGACCATTATATATCGGACGTTCTTTCGACAATGGGTTTAATGGAGAAGTTTGGTATGACTTTCAATTGCAATAAAGTTAAGCTCGAGCAAAAAAAAGAATAAATTAATAAAAGTTTATTAATAGCAATTTTCGCTATTTCAATTGGCGTATATGTGCCGAAGAAGTGAAGGAAGATTTTTTAGTAAGTTATTATTCGCATCGTGAACGTACATTTAATGTATTCTGACAACGCTATTTAAATATTGGATTTCAGAATAAACTAATTGAATATGGATCGAATGTCGCTCTTGTTCATGTACCTACTGAAAAATATTTAACTACTAAAGGAAACAAATATACCAGTCAATTTATTCAATTTATTGTAATTAACCATAATTTTCTTTTATTCTATATTTTATTATATTGTTTTAGAAAGCATAACATTGTTAACTGATTTATAAACTTGCGAAGACTGTTTGTAATGGTCAAGAAATAGATTTGAAAAATGATGTCTATACTGTTATTGAAGCTAATGGGTTAAGTGTAAGCGCGGGAAGCCCAATACCTTTTAATGCTATTATTGGATTTAAACATCTTGCGACAGGAGGCAATTTACATTCTCATGATTTTCATTCAGGATTAACACCAATTTCGAAGCATCAGCAGGGTATGTTTAAGGTATTAATGTTTATATAAATAATATTTTGCATACTAAATTATAAAAATATATATTAGTGACTATTTGGATAGGTAGAGATGATAACGATAATTGGCTCATTCGACGTTATAGTTCAAAGGCTTCTAAAGATGACCCTGGGTATTTGTCTAATGGTGATATTGTCAACTTAATCCATGTAAACACTGATAATTCAGCACTTTACAGTCATCCTGTATTATTTGATAATGGAGCTCAAGAAGTTTCTTGTCATGGAAACGGAAATGAAGAAAATAATAAGGTATATACTTTACAGTTTAATCCGAATGCAATATGGCCATTTTTACACTAAATGATATATCATAATGCTTTATTTAGTGGCGTATTGAATTAATTGATGGTTCAAAAATTGTGAAGTAATATTCTAAAAGAACAATTATCTTATTAAACCGTAATATGACTGAATATCAAAATAAATTTTCGTATTTGGCACAAAATATATAAATGTTATATTACTTGATATCACTTGAGGCATATATTAACCTTTAATGGATCTATTCTTTATTAAAAACTTTTCACTTTTGATTCTTAAAAGTGTTCCTAAAAATGAAATGTTTAGGACTACTCATTGTTGAGAAAATAATACATTTAAAGTAATTTCATATTATATTATATGCTAACCATGCGTTATTATCTTAAGGTTGCGGTGCAAAACCTTAATCTCACAAAAATCGGAAAATAATTTTCAGTTTGACATTTCGACGGATTTCAATGGACTCAAAACCAAACCATTGACTAAAGTCTATTTCCAATAAATAATAGGTAATAAGCTGTCGTTTCACAATAGAATGAACTGTACCTAGTTATATTAATAGTATTTTATCACAAATACATAAATTAGAAAAGTAAATTTATATGCGAAAGAAAAAGAACAGACAAAAATTAGTTTTTTCAAAATCTACTGGTATATTTGAAAAAATATATAATTTACGGTACACTAACGTTAAAAAAAGGCATGATAAATTATTCTCAATTAGCACTTGATTTGCAAAATAGGTAAGGCCGAATGATTCGATTCTATTATTACAACGAGTTAAACGACAGGTAACTAGAGATGGTCAGTCGGTCCTGCGGTCTTTGATCGGAATTGATCGGTCTTTAGGAAATTTTCGGAAAATTAATAGGGCTGTGCTCCCAATTTTTTGTGGCACAAAAGAACTGATTAAAGACCGAAAAGTGGTAAAGTTTGGTCTCAATCTAATATCCGAATTTAGAGCTAGGTAGGTTTTTATTTTACCAAAACCAGTATTTTTTGATTTTTTCGGTCTTTTACCAATTTCGCCTCTGCTGGTCTTAAAAAATGGCCAAATTTTGACATTTATTGGTCTTTAGCCATACTTGCTGCGCCTCAAAATTTCAAGGGTGCATTCCTTATAACTTTTCCAAAGACCGGGCAGGACCGTTCAGGACCGAAAGACCAACTGACCACTCTAATGCTGATGGAACTGATAATATCAAGATCTTATGACATATGTGAAAATGTTGAAATAATTTACTTGCTAATCTAAATCGTTATGTTTAGGCCATCTATATACTTTTCTTTTAATAAAATAATAGTACCTTTATATCGTATTAATGAAGATAACTGATTTATAATGTTGTGGTTAGTTCTTTTATCGAACTTTATTGAAATTTATTGAGCATTATAAAATAATAAAATAATACCTCCCGACCTAATAGTGACTAAAAAATGTATATATTGATAAATTAAACCATAGGATATTTTGGATATAAAAGATTGCATATTAAACAAAAGGAAAATTTGATCATTTGTTCAGTAAATAAGAAGAATAATCACATGAATTTCAAGCGATGATAAGATCATCATTTTTAGATGATAATTCCTTTCTTAAAAATGAACGTTAATGAAAATTAATGACAGCCATTCCATTCTTTGAATCATAGTCTCAAATGACCTTAGGGATGCAAATAAAAAATAAACAGAAAAACACTTATTAACAAGTTTCTTGAACTAAAGTGCGCAAACAATAACGAAAATGTGCATTAAACATCTTTTCCAGGCTTTGCTAGATCTAAAACTCAATTAATAGGAGGCAATTAACTATATTTAATATATTTAAATTTCCCATATCCTTTTTATGTTTCATATAGAGTATGCTGTCATATAAATATCGAAGAAATATTTAATTTATTTTGTTCTTAGAAAGGTTCAATTTTTTTTTAATATAAAAGAATTTATATACTTATTCTAACGTTAAACTTGCATATTTTTAAATTGTATGCGTTCATTGTTTTTATGTTCAATACTTTCATGATTTTCAATTATTTTTTGCTAACATTGATAATGTTATTAAAATTCATGTTCGGATCATATGTATGTCTCGTAACCTATGTTAATAGATGAATTTTTATTGGCAAAATATATTTTTTTCTAAAAAAAAAAGAAGTTCAAGTTATGAGACAATTTCTTTAGTAAAACCATTTTTAAATCCTTTTTCTATATTGTATATTTGACAAATTTATGATGCGAAGTTTTGATATACTCGCAAAGCATTGAGAAACACTGAAGAAATTGAGGCAAGGTAATTTTTACTTCGCATTATTTCAAGTCATTCCATTCATGAGGAATCAATTGAAACTCGAGTCGGGTTAAATTTCTTAAACATCTTAAAAGAATTTAATGATGATTCACATGGAAAAATACGTAAACATTAAAAATTTATTATTGTTATTGTATTTTTTATAAAATTTATTTACCGCAATAATATGATGGTTTATTTATGTGCATACTCATTCAAAGCATCTTTTATAATATTGATATTTTCAGCACCATTTCTTCCTAAACCTATGGATAACATCATAACGGTACTCTTGATCAGCAATAAGATCCTCGAAGGATGTAATAAGGTTTGGGATATGATCATTGATATTCTCATTAAAATGATTTTTAATTAATTCTAATCCCATTGCATTGGATCGTCTTAAAACCATTTCAAAGTTTTCTTGACAATCAATAGTAAAACTATCAAAATTTGGTAATGGATAACCTTTATCGTCATATTGCTGAATAAAAATTCTTTTTTGACGTATTCCTTTCTTCAATTTGTATATTTCAAATGCAAGTGCCAATGGAATTTTCAATAAGTTCATCTTTTCAACGGTTAAGTCTAAAAAGATTGAACCTGTTATCTTGTTTTTTTCGAAAATTTTCGTCTCTCGTGGCGTCCATTTTTCTTCCAACCGAATTTGCAAGAACTCATTTACTTCCTGAACGCACCAGTCTCGAACGTCTTGGGTTCCTCTGTTGTTATAAGAATAGTATTTATTATACCTTTCTAAGTAACTGGTAAATAGACCAAAAAAAAAATGGTTAGCTTTTAAGTGTGCTATCAAAGAATATTTTAATTCTTAATATTTGGAGCGTGTAGGGGAACATACTTGGGCGGAATGGTTATGTTGGTTCTTCTTTGCAATGCTAAAGGTAGAGCTCTTTGTTGAGAGGTAAACAATTCAGGTCGAGAAATTCTCGCAATGAGACCAGATGCTGAAGGGGAGAAAAGATTGTACGTAGGATTAACTATGTTTGTCTTTCTTTTTTGTGACATTAGGAAAAGGTCTCTTGGTGGAAAGGTGCGTAATGCTGGGTAAGTAAGTCTCGCAATAAGACCTTGTAAATATGACATGTTATGAAATACAAACTAAAAAGCTAGGTTAGATAATCATTTATTTATATAATTTTTGCCACAATAATTGACGTACCTTTCTATCGTGCGGAACAATTTCTTTATCACTACTTTTAATTGGATATAAATGACTTTTTATTTGTATCAATATTAAATCCAATCAGGTCATTCATTATGCATTCCTTAAAACTTTAAATATTAAAAAATTTTTAAGGAACTGTTTCGTTCTGATTTATATAATTTAAATCAAAAATTATTTAATTGATAATAATATGAGAATTTCGAGGCATATAAAGGCATCTTGATTGTTAACTAAACGGGACAAAATGTTAAAAATAGGTACTTTCCAGATTGGAAGATGTAATTTAAGGATTAATCAATAGAACGATCACAATATTGGATTCATACAAAGAAAGGGATCGACTAATTTGGATAATTAATTATTGTTAGTCATTTAGGGTTGGTCTATGGAAATTTCATAAATTTCGGAAAATGGGCAGATTCAAAAATAAATATATTTAATTGACTTCCATATTAAATTGTAATTCAACATATTTGTTTTTTTACGATTATGAATAAACCATAAATCATATAAATCTACGTCAAAATGTGACAAGTTGATTTAATTATGACTGGAAAATGGCATGTCTATAAATGATTTAGGATTTCAATCCAAATATTGGTTTTTTTTTTAAAGCTGTCGAATTATAAGATCTAAATTTATTAAATGATCAAATTTTGCATTGACGAATATTTTAAAAGGGATAATTGAATCTAATATTAGTTTTATCGAGAAATATCCTTTACATTGACTCCCAAAAGTATGATGTAATGCATAAATACACACGGATATTCTAACGAATGCAACACTTGAATAGAACATCTAAAAAATGTATATTGTACAAAAAAGTCACAGTACCCGTTTATATTTAATAAGGAATATAGGAATTTCAGCTTGAATACCATACCGTTTTAAGAAAAGATCTAACTTTATGAACAAACTGTTACGATGAAAACCAAATAAAAAAAAAAATCCCTACATTGATGATCAATTTAATAATGTTATTGGATTAATAAAAAAAATTGTTTTGCCAATAATTGTTTTCAATTTAATACTATTAATTACTATACATGCATAAATTTGAAAAGCAAACAATTATTTGGCACCATATGAGCTTAATCGCAGCTAACTATTCTTCATATTCAACACAATAAAACATAATTTAAAAGTTATAAAATTTTCTAAATTCAGGTGAGTTAGTAAAATTCTCGAAAAAATGACTTTGTTTATTTATCTAATTAGAAATTTCAAAAAAGGCGTACTGTTAATAATAATAAATCCGTTATATTATTTTCTTGGGCATTGTGTCCCAAGATTTTTAGTTTAGTTTATCAATTTGCAAAATTGTCTCCGGCGAATTTGTGTTTAAACATGTCCTAGGCCAAAATGTCTTCTGGACTAATGAAAATAATGTTTAAAATATTTCGTTTTTGTAAATACATGTTCATTAAAATTGAAATACCTAAACCTTCTGGCACAATTGTTTGTGAATCAAATTGGAGGAGAAATTTTCAGCATATTGTAAAGTGATCCTGCTGCGTATTTACTGACAAGCTAGGTCATCAAATAAGGTACTAAGAGCACGAAAGTGACGAATAGTTAAACTTAGCCATTTTTGATAAATAATGAGAGAAAATTTATTTTGGGAATGATGAACAAACTTTTTTTTTTGTACAACGGCTGATTGAATTGATTTATTCAAGCAGATGACAATCAATGATGCACTTACTATTTAAGGGAATAAATTCGTAATAAAAAGGGCTGGGTTTAACACAAATTATGTAAGAAATTGATATACATATGCATGCAGAAATATATAGAATGTTCTAAAGTTTTTTTTCCTAAAAAAAAAATAAATTAATAAATTAAACTTAAAGCTTCCACATAAAAATCAAGCTACCATTCATCCTTTAATAATTCTGCTATCATTCTTGTTAATAGGGTTACACAACATTATGGAATCACCAACCGCATGGGATATTAACGTTAATGATGAACTTAATCTTTTAAAATTTAATTCGGACATGCTTATAGTGACTTATACTGGTGAGTTTATTACATTTCATATTGTATAACAATTATAATTTTACTGTTTTCGTATGGAATCACTTATTCTTGCATAATTACAATCATTTCTATTTTCAAATATAAGGTCTGGGTGGAGAAAAAAACTGTGCTGCAATTCGGGCAAATTTTCCAATTCCTGAACAATGTGGATTATTTTATTTTGAAGTTGACATTATAGATAAAGGGGAAAATGGGTATTTTGTAAACTTTGGAATACTGTTTTTTCTGTTATATTTAAGTTGATTTTTTAAAATTTGCCGATAATTATAATTTCAAATTCCATAGGGAGATTGGAATCGGGTTTTGCACAAAATCAGCTAGCCTAAATAAAATGCCAGGTAATTTTACACTTCTTTTTATCAGCTTAATTTGTTTAAATAAATTATTTATTGAATTATTTATATTGTAGGCTGGGAAGATAGCTCGTGGGGTTATCATGGCAAATATGGAAACTTGTATTTTGAAAATGATAGCGAACCATATGGAACAGATTTTATGACCGGTGATACTATTGGATGTTGTCTAAACATTAGAAATAATACGATATATTATACAAGAAACGGAGTGAATCTAGGTATGGTACAAATTCTAAATACTTTTAAGTTAAATAATAGAGACTTAATATCTGTTGTTTAATTTAAGGAATTGCATTCCGAGATTTAAAAAATGAGAATGCTATGTATCCTTGTGTTGGAATTATGTCACCAGATGGATCCGTAGGAGCAAACCTTGGCTATAGAAAGTTCAAATATACAGGTATATTCATTTAATTTCTTTTTTTCTTTACTTTATTAATAATAATTTTTTTAGTGATGAATGATGATGATAATGATGAGTCTTTAAAGGAGAATTGGGCTGAAATTCTTAATCCATATAATGACAAATTAATAAGTCAACAGATTATTAGATTTGCAGATTTAAAACAATCATCAGAGGCTGAACACATACTAAAATACCGAGGAAAGCTTTATTTTGTTATAGGTGAATATGAACTAGCACTTTCAGATTTGATAAAATTGCTAGAGTTTGAAGCAAATAATACATTTGCATTACGATATCGAGGAGAAATTTTTTGTATGATGGAAATATATGAGGAATCACTTGCAGATTTAAACAAATTACTAGAAATCAAACCAAACGATACATGGACGTTAAATGCTTGTGAAGAAATTACTAGGATGTATGAATATAATAGTTTATTTATATTAATTATTTAATATATATTCATTTAAGTTATCTATATTTGTAGGAGGTAACGATATTGTTGCATCATTCATTTTTTATTTAAAATACATAATTAATTATTTTATAATATCGGAAATATCAGAGAGTTGAGTATAGGAATAGTTTATGTTAAGGATGAAATTTAATAATTTTTTTCTAATTAAAAAATAAATTTTCAGCAAAGATTTAAAAGGTAATGGAATTTATATCATGTATTATAATGAACATTTATGTATTTGCTAATAATTCTTATTAAATATATTTTTTATTTTATATTAATATTATTAGAATGTAAACTATTTAATTTGTTAAATATTTTAACTTAT